GTGCTCCCCACAAAAAAAAAAAAAAAAAAAAAAAAAAAAAAAAAAAAAAATCGACATTTTGTTTCATAAACAGTAAAGCTCTGCAGAGAGGGGCCTTGAGCAGCAGCCTAGAAAGAATTAAAGCACGAGCCACCCAGGCAGCACAGGCGTAATGGCATTTATAGGGAGGACGACGCTGTTTGCAATGCAAACGTACCTCGGGTTCCCACTGCGTGCCTTGGGTAACGAAGATGTTCAGAAAGCAAAGAGGGAAGTCGGCTGCTCCCCAGGTTTGCTAGCTGAACGTCGCTGGCAGAGCAAGAAGTCAGCGTTTGCTGACCGACTACAAAACCAGAAAGCAACCCCCATCCAACCACAGCCCACTCCGGGCATGGATGACACATGGACGTCTCCCATGGGTGACACATGGACGTCTCCCATGCTTTGTCCTGATGGCACAGACAGTCAGCTGCCTGACAGCACCTTGGGTGGGACGTGCAGTGCTTTTCACCCAAGGAATGCTTTCTCCTTCGCCTCCCTTGCCCTCAATCCACTCCAACACCATGGGGCTGCTCCCCAGTCCGCTGAGGGAAATTAAAGCTCTTGGGGTCTGTCACCCTTGTGCAAAGGAGGAGGCTGAGCCTCAGAAAACCCAAGTGTAACAGTTAAAGTGATTCCCATGCAGCCGTTCTGGGCTCGAACCTCCATTGCAATGGCCCGAGTAAAAGTTCTCCAGGTGTTTGACAGTGTAACTGTTGGTCAGAAGCCCTGGGGCAGCAGAAGCTGTCTCAAACCTGCAGCTTCCCAGCAAATGAGCTGGGTAAAAGCAGTGTCGTGCTGGAAGGCACAGAGGTGGAGGGTGCATGGTGAGGGTCACCATGCTGAAGGTGAAGGTAGAGAAGAGAAGCTTACAGACGTGCTGCAAATGGGAAATCATCACCCCCCAACCTTCATCCTGATAAAGCATCACCAACCCACACACAGTATCCAGGTTTATGTCTCTAATATAGACTCGGGAACAACATATGCTCACTTACTCCTGGCTCCAAACCCCTCCTTGGCACAAACTTTATTTACTTTTCATTCTGTCTGGGTGGAACAGGTAGCAGATTTCCCAAAGTCTCCCCTGCTTCAGCTCCCCAGTGTCTCTGTCCACGAGTACAGAGCCTCTCCGTCAGCCGTTCACAGCAGCCAGACTGCCACCCCAGAGGTGAAGCCAGCCCGGCACCCAGCCCTTGCTCCAGGAGACTCCCATCTCCGAGAAATAAGAGGCCACTTCTCTGTTACACCGACCAAACCACACGCAGCTGAAGGACACGTTCAGTGGCACACTTCCATCACGACTCAGCCCTCCTTTTCTAAGTCACCCACAGGATTTAAGCAGGAAAAGTAGCACCCATGGGGCTACCAAAGCCCTAAACGTACTGCCCCAAGGAGCTGATAGCACTGGGGGCGAGACGAGGGTATGCTCTACTGTCACTCATCTGAGACTCCCCAGCATCAGGGGCACGGTGGATGTATGCGTTTCTGATGTATATTCTTGCTGCTGATGTTGCTACCTCTCCCCTCCGGTGGCTGACAGAGCACTGCTGTCAGATTTTTGCCTTGCACTGTTTTTCACTGTCTGCATTTTCCATTTCTTCCTCGTTATAAAAACAACAAAGTAAAAAAACCATCAAATATAACACAGAATTGGTGGGGGGTTTTGTCAGTAACAAGGCTGGGATCTGGCTCACAGGGTGCAGCCTGCCAGGGGACATGGAAGGAGAGAGGGCAGAGGCATGAGAAATTACTAATGCCATAGGAAGACCCACTTGGGAGGAGGAAGGCTCCTTGTTTGTCCAAAACAAATTGGCCGAGAAAATCCTGGATGGAAAGGGAAGTGTCATTTTCTATCTGTTTAGCTCAACAAACCCTTTCCCCAAAGAATCTACTGGCAATTTATTTGTAGCCAAGAAGTTCCCACTCTCTAGAGACATCAGATCAACACACGGAGGGGGTTTGACATGTGCCACAGAGGTGCAGAGCTCCCTGCTGATCCATCCTGGCACACGGACCGCTCGGTGTGTGTTAGCTCTATCCCGGGGAGGGAACATGTCTCGCATGAAGGGGACAAAGACGTGATGCAGGAACAGCAATGCTCAAAGTAAATGACAAGGCATGGATGCTTAATAAAGGATGAAAACTCTAGAGACCAGCTAAGTTTTGGGATGAGCCTTTGTCAGCCTTTGTCACAGGTCTCGAAGAAAATCCTTGTATATCCCTTGGATTTAATGTCTTCCTTTTGATGGGAATCCCAAACAAAGCTGAGGAGCTGGATACTGCCTTTAGAAAGGAGGACAAACCAATCCTGGCGGAAGAAACCTTTAAGGTAAGGAACATGATGAAGCGTTTGAATTTGGCTCCATTTCTACTATCTCCTGCTGGGTGATTCTGGAGATCCATTCCAACGCCACAGAAAACATCTTGGTGCAAAGGCTTAACTCAGCTTTGAGCTACCAAAGGTCCAAGGGGTGAGGAGAGACTATTCTCAGTCTGTCTCCAACCACACAGGTCTAGAAGAGGAGTAACCGCAGGAGATTTATGGCTCAGCAATGTCAGAGAAGGGACATGGGTTGGCTTGAGTTGGGCATGTCCAACCACACAGCAACGGTTGGACTGTGTTGCTTATATGATCGCTCTGCTCAAAGCGGCAGCAGTGACTAATGAGTAAGGAGAAAAAAAATGGGTTGAATAATTAGAAGGAAAAAAAAGTCTAAGCACAGAGTCCTGTCCAGGCAAAGAAACAACATTTTTCTCTCCTGGCCAAAATAAATGCGTGTGTCTGATTGATGCTGGGAGTCTCTGATGATGGGCTCCAGCAAGGCTAGATGTATGGATGGTTAAATTCTATTGATCTCACCTTCATGAGACCTGATGTTTGATTCCCTCGATGTCAGACTGAGTTAGTTTGACCTGATAATTTAGAATACCAACAGTGCTTAATGTGGACCAGAAATAATATCTGACATGCTGCCCTTCTGCCGGGCTCTTAACGAGCAATTTGAGGTGTTAATATCTTGGAGACCGTCTTAATTTCCAGCTCTGCCACGGAGGATCACATTGTGTCTGCTGAGGGACCCGGAGAGAGTACATTACTGCTTAATTAACATGCAGAGCAGAAAAGGGAGCTGTCGTAACGTCCACAGCGCTAACGAGCTGGCGAAGGGGCTATGCCAAACCCTTCGGAGCAGAGGCTGCTATCTCCTGCCAGATGCTCAGGACCCTCAACTGCTACCGACACAGCAGAGTTGGGTGACTCAGCATCCACTGGAAGAATGAGCACCTGCAGGCTCAGGGTCCAGCAAAGCCAATTTAGGCGGAGACGGGGCAATTAAAAGCTGAAAACTGATTCAGCATTCACATCTCCAAAAACCTAAATTGGTTCTAAAAAAAAAAAGAGTAAAGATAAACAGGCAACCGGCCAAGAAGTGGCCCCAGAGGAAATTAATTCCACACAGGCTTCGCTGTAATGTGCTTGTTTCTCTGTTATTATAAAATATATGCATTGTTCTATCATCAAAATTAGATTTTCCCTTTAGCTTGTAATTAAACCCTAATCTAATTTACCGGGAGGTGACAGAGGCCTCTAAGCAGAGCTTGCAGCCCTGCTCCCCTTTCCCCGCCCACCTCCCTTCACCTGCTTTTGCAGACTTCCCTCTGCATTTTGGTGTCTGTTCTGAAGGTGCCACGCATCAAGAAGGGCCCCCACCAAAGACTTTTTACTTGGTAAGACCCAGCTGTGAATGGGCTGCCCCAGTGCCCAGGTCTTCTCCCCCAAGCCCTCCTCATAGCCATAGCTAATTTCCAGTTCCCAACAGGTCGTCTCCTCTGAGCCAGATCCTAATTCTCTAAACACAACTGTTTATTGATGATCTCTATTATTTGTAATAGCAGCACTTCAATGCACAATGGTTAACTTTGCTCGGTTTCCTAGGGCGTTATGGAAAAACCATTTGCTACTGTAATTAAAACTCCCCAGACTAGACTTTTGTACTATGCAGAGAGGCCACAGAGGGAGCAACTGCTAGGAATGTGTTTATAGATGTGCTGCCGCACGACTGCAAGATTGCTCTTGGGCTTGGAAACCACAGACCAGCGCTGGATGGCCCTGCTCCCTGGGGATGTTCAGACAAGTCTTCCCACTAACATCTACAGCTGTACCCAAAGCCGCAGCAGAACCTTCCGTTTTGCCGTAAAACACTGAATAGCTGTTTCATGAATGTGACGTGCAGTTTAACAGATGAAAACTCACTTCACCAAGGTGGTGTTTGTTTCAGGCCACGAAGGTCTGAGAAAGCAGCTTTCCACGCCAGCTTTCTTTCCCAGGGGAAGCGGTACGGGGGCTATAGCGAAGCAGCAGCAAGAGACTGGGACAGCAGCCCATCGTTCTGGTGGCAGCGCCTGTGTAGGTTCTTAGTATGAGATGACAACAAACAGGGTTGGCGGGGAAGGAAAAAAGAGGTCACATTATATGTCTGCTTGTCCAAGTGCCTAAGCATGGCCTTGTAGCTCCAGAGATAAAGCAGGATTCTAGGTTACAGGCTACGCGAAAAGTGTTGGTAGTGTCACAGTCTCAGCTCGGCTGGAGAACATTGCCTCCTTCCCAGCGTCAAACTGCTGGAGATCGCCTATTCCCTGAGCATCGAGCCTGACCACGGCTGGTAGGTGTTACTTCCACAAGGGAAAGTTGAAAGCAATTTGTCAGGTCCCAGGCAAACAGCCTTGGTCTTTGCAAAGTATAAACAGGACACCAGGAAGGAGAAGAGCTTTAAGGAGAGGGCAAAGGTGCACGTACCTCATCTGGTGCGTGTGGCTGTCTGTCAGGAACGACCAGTGGTACCGTACAAGAAGCGGGCTGCAGTTGGTCATCTCGACGTAACGCACATCTTCAGTGTCATTCAAGATGCAGCCAAAGTCCAGGGCCATGGTCTGGATACGGAGATTCGGAAAGTAGACTTCTCCCCGAACGGTGACCTGCTCCTCATGAGGATGCTCGAGAAACAGTATCTTCAGAGCCTTCTCTGCTACCCGGATATTCAAATCCTCTTCGTAAGCAGGGTTAAATCTGATGGAGAGATGAAGTTCCTCCCCTATCTCCAGCTTCATGGGCTGCAAGGAGATTATTATTATTAACCACCAGTGTGATGAAGTCCCAAGGTCTGACGGCATGAAACGTGTAAATATTCAAAGTTTGACCCTAACGTGGCCTTCTCAGTTGGTCCTTCATTTTCTTTACAGTGTGCACCTGACCGCAAGCACGACAACACTCTTGTCTGAGACTATCTCAGGCTCACGTCTCTCTGCTCTGCATCAATATGAGAGCAAAATAAATATTTTTCTACTGAATTCTGGATCCACAAAAGCTATATGCTAAATACATAACCAAATCAGCACTCTGGCAAGCCAGGGCCTTTTGCCCTGACTCTAGAGGAACTCCTTTATCCTCACAGCACAAGTGCAACGGCGTTGCAGCCTCACCCTTGCAGGTGCTAGTCACCAGCACGGCACAGAAACACCACTTTTAGCAGAGTCCGTATCCAACACCTTCCACCGACAAGGGGGCAGGTGCCAGGGCAGCGGCTGGAGGAGCATCCTCAGCCTTCCCGAAAGCAGGGCTGCCCTCAAAGGGAGCAAGCTGCTCTTGATGTTATCTGAGGATGGCTGCTGGAGAGCTGGGATGGTTTCCGGGAGACGCCTTTACTACATGGCTTGCCCAGACCTAGTTGCCTGCTCCCCTCCCCTCATGTCTTAGAGCCAGGACATATTTCCCCAATTCAGATGATATTTCGTTTCCTTCAGCAACTTGTTTCGAATCTGATTTAGTTCAGGCCAGTCTACTGCTGACTCTAAAGAATAAACTTCTCTACTAGAAGACCTCCCAACAGAAACGCACCACCACACTCCTCCCTCTTCAAACCCCACCAGCAGGAAGGTCCACGGCTGCTCACCTGAACATCTGTGGGGAGGGGCTGCCGGTCCGCATCGCAGATTAAGAAGGGTTGCTCTAAGGCCAGGACAATGCTGAGTGGCAGGGAGGAGATGTTTTTTAAAGAAAGAGGCTTGTACTGAAGAGTTAGGACATCACTGGGTTGCTACAGAAACAGGAGACAAGGAAAAAAAAACAACCTGAAGTGACCACGGATCTCCTCCCCCTTCCGATGCATTTCAGATTTTTCAACCCCAAAAGTGCATACATCTCTATTTACTATTTTTATTAGTTTCTACCCTTCTAGAAGTTTTTTTCTCTAAGTATATCAGATGCTTTTCATGTTTAGAAACCACAGCATCCCCCGGGGGAGAGGGAAACAGTCTCGTGTACAGATGAGGGAATAGGACCCCGAGAGGACGCAGCTGCTTGAACAAGATCAAAACCCGAAAGTGAACCCAGGCCGTTTGCCTCCGGTTTTGTGTCCTCTCTTGGGCAGAATGGCACAAAATTATTTTCACTCACATACAGTAATTTCTTACAACCTTATCGGCTCTTTTAGCCTCACAAAAGCAGTGATGCTAGTCAGAGGAGAAAAGCGAGCAGGATTTGGCCCGCGGTGGAGAGCCTGCAGCAGCCTAAGGTTAGCTTTGAACATTTACGTGCACATACAGCCAGCTAGAAACCTCAACAGTCGGGTTGCGACATGTCTCCTGCTGCCCCTACTACAGTGACAAGGTGTCTCTGTAGCCTCAAAGCTAAGCTCAGCCTAAGCTATTTCTTCCTGTTTATGCATTGCTCTGGGCTTCCTGCATGGTTTAGATGAACGAGACAGTGTTTGGGAAACTAGCTCTGGGTGTATTGATATCAAACAGCTGCAGTGTCGTAGCACTCGATAAATCGGAGTGCGTGGCATCAAGCAGACCACAGGCAGACATCAGGGATAGCCGAAAAGCTTCTAATTAAATCTGAACTGCCTGCTCACAGGACTTTGTGCTTCTCTGGATGCCTGGGAACCAGAGGAGAGACCTGAAAACACAGAAACTAAATAATGAAACATCTTCTCTTCTTCAGACGCCTCGTGGGAGAGGGAAAGATGATGCAGACATTGGGATCCAGAGACTAAAGGGCACCTGCTTTGCGCTGGTGTTATCATCAGTGCAGCTGAAGGACATCTGCAGGTCCTTTGAAGGAGGTGAGGCTTGGGGAAATGGAAAGAGCTAGCATCCATACCAACAGCAGAGAAGGCAAAGGGAGACAAGAGATGAGAGTTTTTCCTCATCAGCCTGAGGAGTTGACAGGAATCTCAGTTTTTCTCAGCTTCCCTACAGGGATCGGTGTTCAGACATCACTGTACCTTGGAGGACCCTCAAAAACCTCCCTTTATACTGAGTACAGAAACTGGTGTCTCTCTAGAAGTGGTCGTGATCCCCCTCTGCGGAGCAGCTGTAATCTCAGTTTTACTTGGGTAAAGTTAAAAACTGGTCCCATCTCTGAAGACACCCTCACTTACTTTACACAGAGCCTCAGGAGGGGTGAGGAGGGGGTTTAGCATCGCTCAGCTGCAGCGATCTGCTCTCCCACCTGCAGCCCCAGCATACGAGGTGGCTGTGCAAAGCCCACACTGTTCTCGTGGGTCCCACACGTCTCACCCTGCGCCCTTGGCTCGACAGCTCAATTCTGTCTCCACATCAAGAAGGGCAGAATAGAGCTGGTTAAACTATCCCTGGCCTCAGAGGAGCGAAATAATGATCTCAGTGTTAATGGCAAAAGCTTGGTCCCGCTCAAGTCAATAGCCAAAGCCCCGTGGACATGGAGAAGCTGTTTAACTTCCTCCTTTGAACACAAGCACACACACCCCACAGGCTTTCAGCCATCAGCCACGCTATTAAATGCCAGGAGGCAATCCAGAGACTTACCTTCTCCGCCCGGAAAGTGATTTCCCTGGAGGACATTTGCAGAATGGGAGCAACGAACTCGCACGTGACATCCACTTGCATTATCTGTGCCTTCCCTGCCTTATTCCCCACGATGGCGTGACAAAGCAGCCGCTCCTTCACTACCTGCACGCGAGAGTCGCACGTCACCCAGCAGGTGCTAGCAGGGCATTCAGAAAACACACTGCAATTGCTCGCCACCCGACTGTGGACCGTATTACCGCCATAAAGTTACAATCACTGGTCTCCTCAACAGCCCCCTTTTCTTTTTATGTTGCATCCTATTTATTCAGCAGTAATGCTACACCCTAACATCCACAAAAGGCACTCGTGAGTCACGTGCTGCCTACAGTTGTAATAATCCCTGCCACAAATGATTATTGCTTTGACGTACCCCATTGCTAAGCATAATGCTTACAGAAAGCTGTAGGAACTGATTAAAAATATATATATATAACTATATTAAGGGAAACATGATAGAAGGGCCAACGCCAGCAAACCCTCCCTTGGAAGCTTAGCGGAAAGGATACATGGGAAAACCCCAAATAGCCAGCCTGCCTTCAGGTAAAGAGGGGATCACTCATTCCTAGGATGTACTGTGCCCTCCTAGAGCTGGTTCTAAAAGAAACCTCCCCAGGAAAGAGATGTCTTCCACTTCACACGAAAACCCTCTGCTTAGGCTGGATGCTCTTACATTCAAGACACTTTCCTGATTTCTCATGGTTTCACTTCCCCAAATTCCTCCCTTCATTTCTCACTCTTCCCTCCGATACGCCACCACAACCCAACTCCTCCTCAGGGCCTACAGACTTCAAAATCATCTGTGTTGCACGTACAATGCAGGGAGTTGGGCTTCTGACCAACCTGAAGAGTATTAAGTCCTCAAGACCCAAGGAGGGTGGAAAGCCCACTCCCAGGGTCTTGGCTTTGACTGCAGGAGCGAGGTAGCCACAGCTGAGCTCACAGATCCCCTTTCTGCTTTCCAGGCAAGACACCCTCACCAGTGCCCTGATCCTTTTATTTTCTTTCTGGCAGCTTTTTCCCCTCTTCAGCAAAACCTTTGGACTCAGAACTGCACAGGGACAGTCCCATCGCAGTCAGCCAGGTGAGTAACCAAGTCTTCCTCAAGCCACCACTGAGGCAACCCTTTAAAACACCTTTCAAAACACTTATCAGCAGGAGCTTAATGCAGATTTATTCCACATTCGCTTAAACATCTGTGCCCAGTGGTCCTGGAGCCAGGGAATGAACACCAGGGTTAGCTGGCAGCTTCTCTGCAGAGTTGGATTTCCCCTGGAAAGAAGGGTCCAGGGAGGAGAACACCCAGTGACCCTGCTGAAATCTCTCCCTCTGAGCTGCCACCCAAGGGTGCTGCCAGACCTGGCTGCCCTTGGGACACCGGGGCTGGCTGAGAGCTTGGGGCGAGCTGTTATGGAAATATTGACAAAAGTCAAGCTGTCAATTATAATGATCCCTGGGAACCGTTTCCCACGTGGGGAACGTCACTCTGATCATTAGAGCTGACACACTGCATTTGTTTTTCTCCTCCAGGACTCAGTGCTACACAAGCCCTCTGCCCATGTTTGTCTACAGAGGAAAAATGAGGCTGCTCCCAGACACTCCCTCCCTTCACAGGCGTTTTGTTTTACTCCCTGCTTCCCTCGGATATGTTACCTTGCATTTTTTAATTTACTTTCTGCCTGTGCCCCTAGTCTAAGTGTAACTTATATTCTCTGCCTTTCCTTTCTGCCTCAGCATGCGACACCTTGTAACCTGCCGTTTGCCCCTGAAGTAGCAGTACTTCCTTCAGTCGGTATTTTGGTATCAGCAAGTTGGGTTTATGGTAGCTATAGGAACACGAAAAAGCCTTAGCAACTGATGGTGGCCAGCAAGGAAAGCAACTGGTGCTGCCATGGTAACCTGTGGCGTTAAAACAGTTTCTTGAAAGCACTTGCTCATTTTCTCAGGCAAATGTCAAGGGGCTGCAGAAGAAGTCCCAGCGGAGGTGATCTGATGGGGAAGGCTCAGTCCTCATGGGGGACCTCACCTGGGGAGTGCTGGAGGAGCCTTCCAGCATCATCTCCATTGTCTTGCCCGGCATCAGCTCCATCCTCAGCGGTCGAAGCTTAAACACGGGGCAGGCAGGTTTGGGGCTCTGGGAGGAATCTTTGCCCTTGGTGTTACTGATGGCAGGGAGACGATGGCGCTGGCGAAACGGGGCAAAACCTTCCGTTGTCCAATAGAGCTGATGGGTACGGCGTCCTTTGTTTGTTATCTTGAAGTGGTAACAGCAGGGATCCCAGCTAGAAGAGAAGCAGAGATGGAAAATGTCATGGGAGGTGCTATTTCCCAGCGGTCACCCAGCTTCAGCACCCTGATGGTGTTATCTATGTGCACACTCGGCAATAAAACCACCTCAGAAAAGGCTGACCTAGCTCAAAGCTTCAGCAAAAGCCAGACCTTGGCTGCCCCTAAGTTTAATCACCATCCAGCAGCTGGTCTGTTTGCGTACAGCAAGGAAAAGCTTCATGAAGATCATCATCTCAGTTGCTGCGGACAGAGCATCACCAGCCTTCGGTGCTTAATACTCAGAGTGTTTTTCCAAAGTGCTCCCTGCAGGTCTCGCTGCGTCAGATGCTAAGCTGGCCTGTGCCGGCTGCAAGTGGATGGAGAAACAGCTTCGCTGCCATTTCACCTTCCCCTTGGGAGCTGCTGCCTCAGATGGCTTCCTCTGAAGATGCTACTGGGTAGCTGCAGGGTATATAGACTCGTCTGGTGATCCGGGCACCACTTGCCTCGCTGGTGGGGCCCCTGCCCTAGCACCCATGTTATCCCCCTTCATCCCACTATCCCTTAGGGAGCATCCAACCCTCACCGCCCCCAACATATCACCCTTCGCCTGAACAGTGCAGCTGGTTTGGTGTTTTAGGAAGAGAAATGCACTGTGAGAACACAGGATCAACACAAGTTTCCCCGATACGAACACGACAGCAAGACCAGGTCTAGCTGCTGAGGGAATGGAGGAACAAGAGATGAATAACTAGAGCTAGATGTAAACCAAAATGAATATTCAATGGAAATTGATTCCTTCATGTAAAGAAACACTAACTGCAGGCTAGTCTGAAGCAATTATTTTACCCTCTATAAATCTGAGCATGACCAGGAAATGAATTGTTCCTGGAACAGTTATTGTCTTTTTGAAAGGTACAGAATATGTGGCTTACAAAAATGCACGTCTGCCGTAAGCAGCTAAATACAAACACGGAAGTGACAGCATAGAACAAACTAGCCTTTGAAACAGACTGTTAAAAAATGATGTATGCAAGTTTAGTATGACATGGTTTATGTTGCGGACAGCAACAGATGAAAGCTTGGAGCAGCTCTGGGTAGATGCAGAATTTGCGGCTCTGGGAAAGCCCAGCTCATCTGAGGTGTTACCTGGTCCCACCCCAGCTCGCTCAGTGGCAGCTCTGCAGCCAACAGCAATGGCAACAACTCCAACCAGAGCCTGCAGGCGAAGGCGTCGAAGGGGGGCAGAGGACGATGACATGAACCACGCTGATACTGTCCCCTGCTACAAGCCAACTTGTAGCTGCACAGAGCACAGGAAACGCTGGACAAGCACCAACCTCCCTGCAATGTTCCTGCTTAGGTGGATGGCTTGTGGGTGCATATTTAAACTCCCAAAATCTACCCTAAATGCTTAAGGTAGGATTAATCTGCTCTTTCTACCCCAAAATTTAGGGATCGGAGCACTATGGACCCTCTTTGCAGTCAGGAAAAGGAACAGGCACCTTGAGAAGACTAGTCTTCTCATCCCAAGAGGTCTCCAACACAAGGCAAACAGCACTTTGAAAAGGCTTATTTTCCTCCCATTTATAAGAACGTGCCTGGTTTCAGACACACGCATGAGGATCAGTGAATCCCCTCCTCCAAGCTAAGCTCTTTCAATTAACACTCTCAATTTATCCCACCCAACCTCACTGGACTTCTCCTCTCCCTTTCAGAGCTGGTCCTGCAGCCACCCTCGCTTGCCCGTGCCTCAGGCTGCCGCTGCGGCATTGACAGAGGAGACAGCAAGGAAAGCAGGCAGGAGAAATGAGGAAAGAGTGGGTATATCTGATAAAGAGCAGCCCGGCAGGGGAGCTGGGGAAGAGAAGTGAACCGTGGGATGATACAGGGCAAAGACAAATTCTGCTGCTCCTCCAGGACTCCCGGCCAGAGGGGAAATAAACCAGCACCATTAATTTAGTCGAGGAGTTGCTAACAAGCTACCGCCAAGGTTTTCCGCTGTTGAGAGATGATACTCCATAGCGAGTGGAAAAGCAAGCAATGTTATTGCAGAGGGAAATATGTTTATACTTGTAATGTAGCGTTTTTCAGCTGGAGGCTTCCGGGACCTGCTGTTTTCCTCTGAATCTTTATTTGATAAAGTGAGGAAATAAACGTATTATAACTAAGGGCAATTCAGTGACAATTTAGCAACTGGTTTCTATTTTGGTGGCTTTTGAGGGTATCTAACGACTTTCAAACGGCCATAAAACATTTCTAAAGGAATTCCTGTGGCTTCAGCGCAACAGAGCCAGGACCTTGAGCACTGAAGGAGAACTAGCCTGAAGGACTACAGCAAAACTCCTGCTCGCTGAGCCCACGGGAGAAGTGGGAGCTGAGAGATACCCTACCTGAAGTGGGGTCCCAAGTTGAGCTCCGGAGCAAAGGGTTTGTCGGTGACAATTGTGGTGCCGATGCCGACAGCCCGGACAGGGATGACGTAGGTATGGCTGTTCTCTATGAACAGGTTCACCTCGTCCTTGAATTTCTCAGTGTCATCCAAGTTTGCTATGACAGTCACAGACACCTCGGTCTCGGGGGGGATCACTCCTTTACCGGGTTCAATCCTCCAGCGTGAGCATTTGCCAGCCTGTAAGACAAGCCAAACACTACCTTAGGATGGAAACCATGGTACCTGGTCTCTTGTGGGATGCAGGAAAAGGAAGGACTAAAGACACGAGGGTGAAGGACATAAAGGCTTAATTTCCCTAAATCTAAGCTACAGCGTCTGCAAACAGCAACTATGCGGGAGCTCATACAATCTGTATTTTACCCTCCTTTAACAGACTCACTTCATTAACCCAGTTTTGCCCAACCCAAGGGATGTTCATCCTCAGGAGAAGGCTATTCCCCCTCCAGTCTCTCTTTTGGAGTACGTACCAAGGGAAGCTGCTTCATCTGACCTGGCTTCCTGACAACGGTGGCCGGGTTTGCATAAAGGCTCAAGGCCAGAGGAAGCCAGGACTGCTCAAATCCCACCACGGCTGCCACACGGCTGGGGGATACTGCCGAGAGCCTGAAGAACAACTCTGCAAAACCAGTTGATCAAAACCCCAGCACCAAAGTCTTCTTTCCCAAGCATTAGGCAGTGCTTCTCAACACCTCCTGAAGGACTGAAGCGCTCGGTTCCCACAGATCATCAGCTGCAGCGAGGTGCCCCACTGTCCTCGGCTTTGGAAAATTCAGCTATAAATGTTTACAGCAGGGCAGTAAGGAAATAAGCAGAAAGAAAACTAACCCTGCCCTGTAGACACGGCCCGGGCTTCCCAAGCACTCTCTTCTTTTGATTTCTCATGGACCTCCCCCTACGGATGGGGCAATAAGGGAGCTGGACCCCCGGTCCTTCTAAAACCACATTCACAGGGAGCAAGCTTGCAGCAGAGAGAGAGAAATGTATGCAGTGCTCCCTGGCCAGCACAAAATGCACTGGCATGTAGATGTACGGCTTCGAAGTGTCCATCACGGTGGCGGTGGTACCTGCACCCCATGGTTCAGCGCTGTGTTTAGGACGAGAGGCACTACTCACCCAAAACACTGCAATATTGTAAGAGAAGAGGTTTTCTCCTTTTATTTTCATAGAAAGCAACGATGTGCTTGGAGGCCTGACAGGATCCAAGCAAGCGCCTGATCCAGGTGAAGTTAGCTTGAGTTTCCGTCCGTCAGGCTGGCAGCACTGAGCTCTATCAGGACACCAGCCAGCCCAAGGGAGAAGAGCATCAGAAAACCAAGCAGCACTTCAAAGTCATGGAAAGCATTTTAAACAACCCCCCCAAAACGACCTCTGCTAACGAGGGTAAGACTAGCTGGAGGCCAGGGAAGCAGTAACTTGCTGAGCATTCAGGGTCCCAGCAGCGTGCGTAGGTGCCCCAGCTATGATAACCCCTTAGGCTGACTGCGCCCTGCATGGAGAGCAGGTCAGGCCTGCATGCCTGCATCCCAGGATGGAGCAACGCCAAAGGCATCAAAATTATTCCAGGCACTGGCAAAATTAATAAACGCAGCTCCATTTAAATTTGTCCTCTAGAGCTGCAAGAGAAAGTCTTAAAAAAAGCAAGATGAGAATGGGATGGAGGAAGGTAGTCGGCACAGGCTAACCACTGGGGCTCTGCTTCTCCACAAGGACCAGGCTAGGCTTTTTTCCACTCCTACATCTTCCACATTCATTATTACCTACAATCTGTTCTCCATTCTTCTGGTTTGGGACCTCATACTCTGTTCGGGAATATTCTTATATTCCCTTTGGGGTCTGGCTAATTATCATTTTGTTTTCTGCACCCCTGACGCTCCTTGGTTGCGGAGGAGAAGCAGTGCTCCAAAACCAGGCTGAACTCAGGGCGTCTAGCTAGACCAGAAGATGGCAAACAAAGCAAAACCTGTCAGCAGAGCTCTACCTGCTTCTCCAGAGAGACTACAGTCATTGAGCCTCCTGAAACCATCAAAAAATCATCACCAAATTCATTTTCATCTCAAAGGTGCACACAACCCCAGGCAGGTAGACAAGAGAAGACTGACCTCACTGACCACATAGGATCCCACCAACCCTCTTCTGTTGTCCCTGCATCCTGTGTGTAGCTGATCACTAGCCTCAGAGGCATCCACCGCGCTGCCATCAGCCAAGGGCTACCCAGCCAACACATTCGTACCGAGCTGGTGGGTGTTAGGTTTTCATTGACATTAATGTACAACTTTACCTCTGATTCATGCTGACACAGGGTAGCTTGCTTGAAAAGGAGACCTGATAGCTCTGCTCCAGAGGTGAATTTGCAAGTCTGCTATCTGACAAAGCTCATTTATCAAAGCTTGGCAACAAGCCGGGCAGTAAATCGTACCCAAGAAACTATTACTGAGAAATAATGATAGGCTGTCTCGATGGAGCCAGACTTTGAATTTCCCAGGGTGACCCAGCGCAGACCCACCATGCCCTGCCAGGCCAACAGCCCACTCTGGAGGAGCGTGATTTGCATCGTGTCCTCATTCCTTCAGTTAGCATTTGGTGTGGGTCCAAGGGGCAGCACAGCGCATCACTGAACAGGACATCTGCCAGGACCAAAAGGCTCTGCCGGGCCAGATTCACTCAGGTTTCTAGGTCAGCTTCTGCCTACACCCATCCAGGCTGCGTCCCAGAGACAAGAAAACTCTTGGAGCCATGCTAAAAATCTCCATCACTTTAGAGACCAAGATCTAACTTCTGATAACATCCCTGCTATTTGCTTATCCCTGGATACGCACTGGATAGACAAAGACGGTGACTAGTTTTGTTCCTATAAGAGCTCGCACTATTGGACATCAGAGTCCCCGAGTGCTAGGCAAGGGTAGGGATCAATCACTTAATCAAGAAGTTCAATGCCGAGATCATTAGCTTCTCCCAGGACAGATTTCCATTGTGAATAAGAGCTGCCAAAATTTGATTATAATGGACACCGGCGTGCATTGAGAGACGGATGGCTGGCTGCCCTAAGGGATGACCGAGGAGCCGCCACACTCAGTTCTCTTGAAGCTACTTAAAGCTAGTTAATTAAAGTGATCTGGTCATTCTGGCCTTGCACGAGTGAAAGAGAAAGCAGAACTCAATATTAAAAATGCAGCTGTACTTTACCAAGCCACAGCTCTAATGAGAGAGCATTCACACCTTGTCAGGCTGACCCATCGCTCCTTGCGGAGGTTGCACATGAAGGGGAAAGAAAACCCCATCCTACATCAGTTGTGCACAGAGCCTTGTCCCAGGTGTTTTAGCAGTCCCGAGGTGGGGGACCCTGTGTTCTTCATTTCGAAGCTACTCTTTAACGGCACAAACTGCCTGTGGCAGAAAACAACCCAAAAGCACCCCGAGCCCCAGCAGGACGTGGAGATCAGAGCGTGAGGCTGGCTAGATGCTCCCACCACCAACCAGCCTCCTCCTGGCACCTCAGCACCAGCATCTCCTCGGCAAAAGCACGGGGACCACTTTGGTTTAGCCTCTGTCCCAACACACCATCAAGGAGATGTTTTATGAAATCAAGAGGCAGAGTCTCTAAAGCCAGTGAAAAAAAATAAAAATTAAAGTGTGGCACACTCTGCCACTGACAATGGAGCCTCATTTGTCATGCTTGGTTCAGCTAATAGCAGACTGCTGAGTGAGCCAACGAAGCTTGTCCCCACCTGTGTCCCCTGTCCACAGCTCACCCCTCCAGATCCCATCTACTCTCCCCGCTGGGCTGGGGAGACCAGGGCCACCGCTCCGCCACCACTCTGCACATAGGGGTTCACCAGCCAGGACATGGGCACGGCTTGGCCAGCTGCTGCCAAGCACAACGTTTAATAACCAAACTCCTCCCGCTTTTCCTTTGGGAAAAGCACTCCACTGAGTCACTCTTGCTTGTAGGAACATAATTTGCCTTGAAGGCTTCTACCCTTCTTTAATTCAGTTGGCCAATGGGTGCAGCACAATACGACGAGCTTCATTTCCCTAGACGAGCAGAATAACAATTTCTTCAATTTCAAAATTGCTGTATTTCAGTAAGGGCATGAACCCATATAAGATACCCAACGTGATCAAAAAAAAGCAACTCTTCCCTGTGGCCAGGTTTCAGGCACCTTTTCCAAGGCCTCCTCCAAACCTCTGCTGCCCTTTTTAAGGGCCTAAGCCTGTGCAACACTGGGAGGGACACAGCCTTCCACCTTCCCCAGGTTTTCATACAACCGGTCGCCAGCACAAGACTGGACGCTCCCGGCCCTGACCCCTGTTCATGACCGATGCCGTGAGTTTCCAGGCATGGTCCAGCTCTGGCAAGACCAAACTGGGTGGAAATCAGCAAATTGGTACTGCTGTATTAGCAAAACGCAGCCTTTAAAAGCCAAATCAATGGTTTAAGTCTAAAGGTGAGCTTTCAGAGCACCACGAGGCTCTGGTGGGACAGCTCTGGAAAGAGTTAAGCCTATGCAGCTTATCTTCAAAAGCTCTGCTCATCTCGGAAGAGACCGCATATTCAGGGCCAATGCTGCCTGCATCCTGGAAAGTTAATTTAACACTCATTTCTAAATAGCACTGCAGATATCATTTGAAGGGCACGGCACTGTCTGCCTGTGTCTCGCTATGAGCAAACACTGACGGGGCTGGCTAATTATTCAGATGCTTGGGGGGGAAAAAAATAATGTAATTTATAGTAGATTTAAAAACCACCCTCTTGCCAATTCAAGTCTGCTCCGACTTCAGTGAGAGCAGTTGGAGAGAGCTATGAACAATGCCGACACGCTCTTCAAAGCCTTCCCTCCCCGCAGCCTGCACAATTCGCTCAGATAACAACAAAATCGCTCATCAGCCGGAACAAGAAACAGAATCACTAAAGCAGCATCCCTTTACTGGCACTGTTCTTAAGTTTATCTCCATGTTTTGCTGTCTCTCCATATGGACGTTTCTTTAATAAAGGGAATGTCGTCAAAAGCTTGAGATAATAAGCAATGAAATTAGTAAATGAAACAAATCCTGCACTAACGAGGAGAGAAGCAACTATGGGAATGGGAACTGCATGTTCTCCCCTTGCTTACACAGAGTTTGACCAACAGACTTTATACGCTGCCTGAAAATCAGTTGATTTTCTCCAGTGAATCCCAGTGAGAAGATAAACAGCTATGGCTTTTTTTGTTTGTTTGTTTTAAACAAACAGAACTCGGTCTCTTCTGCAATGTCAGCTCCAGTTGAATCTGATGGCAGCTCATCTCTGGGAACGCAGAAGGGGATTTGCCCACCAGGCACTCTCCTGAAGACGACAACACATCTGGCTGTACGACCGCTGCTGGAAACCAGGCGGCGGCGAGCTCCGTCAGGAGCACAGGGCTCTGGATTAGGGAGGTCAAGGATCAGGTCAAAGGAGACAGGACCCCAAATTAGGAAACGGAGCACCATCACTAGAAGAGGAAGTCCCAAGAAAGGTTTTCTCTCTTCTCCCTCATTACAAGGCACCAGCAAACCACCGTTTGCCTCCGTGCGGTAGCACATAACAGACCCAGCATGGTGGTTATGCAGGCAGAAGAAAGCTGCCACTGATTAACAAAAATTATACCCTACGCCTGTCTTTTCTTTCCTGATCACACAGGTGTGATACGCAGCTGCCTTCCCTGATGCCGACAGAATGACTTCTTAGTAGCCAAAGAAAAGATCCCCGAGAAGACAGAGTGACAAAGAACAAGTAGGAAATGATCAAAGAAAGATGCTTTTTCCTCTCTGCCTTTCTGCAGGAAGAGCAAACGCTTCCATTAATCAATATAACTCCTTTGCACTTGTCAATATGGCAAAAAGCAGACACTTAGGGAAACAGGAAAAGAAGGTGACAGCAGCAGCAAGGAGAGGAAACAGCCGCCTTTTTCAGCAGGTCACATCACCCCCCAGCTAAGCTGCAGCAGCTCCTTCATGTTGACCTATTCCTCCAGTCTTTTCTACCCACGAAAAAGGCAAACCCTCCCCTTGCTGGATCCAGAGAGTGCTCTAACAGGGCTGCCTGGCAGCTGGGAAAGCAACCTGACAAGGAAAAGTACATCAGACAGACCCAGGATTCAGTGGATGAACACGGGGTGACACACTGGTCCCAAGGGTCACAGACCTGCAAGATACCCTGGCAAGCAGGGATAAGCCAGCAGAGGACTAGGGGATGAAGTCCCTACACTCCTCTTCAAACCCCAAAAGCCCCACCTCAATGCACAGCTTTGGAGGTTTTTTATTTATCTCCTTCTGGCGGCAGGAGATGCTCAGTGCTGCTCCCCACAACTCATCCAACGGAGAGAAGCGAGAACAGGGGTACGGGGAAGCCTGTGCACGAGGGGTACTCCAGGTAAGTCCTAAAGTCACCATCCCAAAGCGAAGTTATCCACAAAAAAGCACCTCGGCTTGCTCAGGTAACGCTCTTTTCTCCCACAAAGCTAGAAGAAAAGCTTGACTTGACAGGAACAGCCATTTGCATGTGATGGTTAAGAACACCACCAAGGTGGCAGCATGGCCATCTGCATTACAGCATTTTCCTTTTCTGTTTCCAACAAGACACCAGCCTTTTACTTGCCCTGTTGCTGCCCCTTAATTTAATCTCATTCAGTCTGTTGAGCTGCCAGTCAGCGTGCTGTAACATTGCGGATCCAACGCTGCTGTGAAAATTTCAATCAATAGCTCTTTCTTTCAAGTGGGGTCCGTGATCCATAAGACTAACTGCAAACAGTCACGGTTTCGAGATTAGCCATCAAATGGGAGACAGGGAAATCACGGCTTGCCGTCCTGCAGCAATCTCCAAGCAGGAAATCAAAGCAGCAGCTTTGGCACCTTAGAGAACACAAAACTTGAGTTAAGGGGCACAAAAGTGAATGAAGGATGCCCAAGTCACCCACCAGCGAGGCTAAGGGACAGCCGGAGCCAGTTCTGCTCTCAGATGTACACGTGCAGTTCACCCTGACACCCGAATGTATCTCAAATTTTATCTCCCAGATTACACAGTCCGCTCTTCTTCCCATCAATGAACTGCCAGGCAGCCTAAGGCAGCAGCAAAGGGTGGAACTTCAACTGAGGCAGCAAAACAGCACCGAAGGAGGGCAGCTGCTGAGGGCAAGGGAGTAGCTCGAGCACATCTCGCCTGCCGCAGTGCTGCTCCCATCAGACAGGCTCAGCATCACGGTGTTGAAGAGTCTGAAGAGCCCTTGTTGAAACAGCTGATCGAGCAGGTTCCCAGGACCTGCCTCCTTGAACATCTCCATGATAGCAGCAGCTATCCTGAGAAGCCGAGATGCTCACCATGAGGTAACTCAACCCTGTGAAGTCAGCAGGAGGGACTATAGAGCAGAGTCCCTCTTTACTGCAGGAAAAGAAACCATCCCTGAACCACCTCATATTATTGCTCTATTTATTAGCCACAAGATTTGCAGAGATTGCAGTGAAGCAGGATAGGATTTATTGCCCAATCCCATGAATTAGGGTACTGAGGCAACGAAGAGGCAGATGTACCCCTGCAAGCCCCCCGGCTACACTGCAAGCTGCCCAGGGAAGGGATTACACCGGGACAGCAGTACCGAAACAGAGCTCTGCAGGTCAGTCTTGGGTACAAGCATGCAAAAACCATCATTTATACACCAGTACCGCCCATCCGAGGTGGCTTGCTCTCTGCAGAAATGGAAAGCAGATTTTCATTGTGGAGTCAAAGAAAGCTGCCCACTTTGAGGTTACATTTATCCTTCTGGGCACAGAAACTGGAGTGAAACAGCTGGAAAAGCAGCAACCGGGAAATCCAGCCTGGGTTAACCAGCCCCAGAAGTTCAACCCACCTAGCACAGCAAAGCCCAAACCTCCTCCAAACCCTGTTTTCCTGCCCCGATCCCCCCCCGCCTCCAGTGAGGAGCACATCCCACCCAGCCTCAGCACGCAAGCCCTTCCCAGCCGCATCATCCCTGCTCCTCCTGCCAGGGAAGCAGCCAAGCTCTCCTCCTGCTATGCAGCTTGTCGCACTACGCAGCCTCCATGAATTAAACAGCCTTTTTCTGCAGCTAGTCTCCAGAGACGCTCTGCAACGCTACGGAGTCCACAGACCCCGTAAGTACACGACCCTTACAAATATATTTTTGTGCAATAACCCAGCTGGTTTGACCCCCAGTAGAGGTGAAACTCACCTCACCATGAGCAGTTTGAGGACAGACCTCACACCCTCGTCTCTAGTGGGAACAGGAGTTTGAGGCAAAGCAGATGCAGACGTAACAGGGAAACCGCAGGGAAACCCATGCCCTTTCAGGAGCAAAGGGCCACAGGGTTCTCTTGATCTCAGAGCTTCAAAAACATGACTCTCAGAGCTAAATACCATCCACAAAATAAAGGGAGAACTTGTAAAAATGATCCAGACTCATTTCTGCTCAAACTTCTATGCAAATTCTCGATTTTACTGAGGGGTCCCCCAGCTGAAACTGCCCCCAGAACCAGGCTCCTCTTGCTGCATTGGGATGGAATATCTTGCTTTCTCTCTCAGAGTGCGATACGGAAATGTCGCATAGTCACAATCTAGTGCAATCAAGTCACAGGCTGCTATGGACCAGTCATTTTTGTTGGAAAATAGCCCCACAGATGCTTACCATCTCTGCCCAGAAGGATGCAGGGATGACAGTCTGATTGGAGAGGTGGAGAGTTCGGGAAGCATCTTGTAGAACTTGGATACTGCCGAAATTTATCTTACTTGGATGCACGTAGACAACTGGTCCTTCTCCAATGCTCACTAAATGGATTTTCTGCTCCAAGGAAGCAGGTAGGAAAGAACAAAAAAAAAAAAAAAAAGAAAACCCAACAAAACAGGGAAAGGTTAAAAAGATTAGACAGCTCTAAGGCCCTCCTAGACTGGTGGATAATTATGGCTGTCTGAAGTTTTCAGTGTTGTAACAGTGATGCAGAAGGCCTGGAGCAAGCGTGGGATCTAGAGCGATCCCATCCGAAAGCCACAAGCTCCCTTTATCAGGGGTAAAGAAACCCAGTTTCCCATGCTTGCTTTTCCACACCTCCTCCACACTGTTAGCTCTCTTTCCCCTACCCTGCGCCTGCTCCCACTCCTTTTTCTGCTCAATCTTGCCCCAAACCACCCTCCCTGACTTCTGCTCCTGCACAGCCACGCTTGGACAGTAACTTCTTTCAACATTCCCAAAGCTACACCTGTGAAAACCAGCACAAGTCAGCAGCAAAGCAGGCTCTTCAGAGTAGAGACCAAGTTAGTTGCCTCTGATTTGTGCTTATGTGTATTCCTGATATTATATGAAAACAGACATTAATTATTAATTACATCATGAATGATGTATGAATGATGATAATTTTTTTCTTTTGACAGCCTGAGACCCAAAAGTTTTGTTCTTGCAGAACTGGCACAGAGTATTGGAGGAGGAACGCGGATCCCTTTGCTAAACCACCTTCTCACATCATTAAAAACAATGAGAATTTATCCAGTCTGGCTGGATTTCACTAGTTCTAAACACCCCAACTCTTAAATAGGATCTGAATGCATAAAACTCCCAACACTGACAAGCTGCTGTATGATTCACTGGAGGGCACGGAGTACGATTTAACCACAAAAGAAACCAGCCCCCATGATGTAGAACCTTTAATGACTTCTGACTCAAGCAAACGGCATCGACAGCTGTCAGAATCACTAGTCCAACTCAGCCAGAAGGAGCAGCATCCAGAAATGCTCATCCCTTGACAGGACACTACTGCGCGCAAGTAAGAGCCAAAAATCACGTACCAAGGCTGGTACCTCAAAAATAAGGAGCTGAAGCCATACATGATGATGGATCTTTTATCCCTCTGGGAGAAGGGAGACATGGAGAGCTGCAGTCTGGGTGATGCTGCCCAAAGCTCCCGGGAGGAAGGAGCTGGAGGGAAGAGCTGTGCCTCGCCAGCTGGCTTTGCCTCCAGGTGATACCAGTGCAGAAGCAGCCAAGGCAGGGCAGAACCCTTTGGAGATGGGCAGAATAACATCTGGAGGATGCCCAGGCTAGGTGGCTTCAGTTAGAGTGTGTACTAACACGATATATCCTTGCCGAGGAAAGGGCTTATAAAAAAACCCCTTCATCTACAGTCGTCTTAAAAGGGACAAGAAAAACCCTGTTCAACAGCGTTAGAGGCAATGACACACGGGGAAAGGCAGTAAAAGGAGACGGCAACTTTGCCATCAGTAATATTGCCACAACCCAATATTGGGTTGATGGTTGGACTCGATGATCTTAGAGGTCTTTTCCAACCTTAATGATCTTGTGACTCACACCCACACATCCCCCCCCAGCAGCACTGCTGGCTCTGTCGATGGGTATGTAATGTCACATTTGATCATTTAGGAACGAAGAGCATCTGACCCTGGCAGACAGCCGTTGTTTGCGTGACCGCTTATTCTGATAGCGGCCAGCTGCCAAATCCCCTGCCCGTGGCACACGAGGCTGCCTTGCCACCGGTAACCCCAGGGTTGGGTTTTACCAGCTCCTTAACGCAGGAGATTACATACACCAAATTGAAGCTGGCATGCAGTCACCGGCAAACAAAATACCAGGCAACAGACCCATGGAGGGACCCTACACAACCTGGATGAAAGATCTGTATGGTACTTCACCTAACTCTGTAAAGACTTGGTATCAATTCCAGACGGCATAACCTAAGACAACAAGAGCGAGCTTATATTTTGCTTTATTGCAATACATTGCAGCGATTCCCCTGAGGTCAGATTTGCATCATATGATCCATACGGGTAGGATTTGCCACCAGTGCAGGATGTATAACAAGATGGTTAGCTGTTCTGCTAGCCCAGAAAGCTCTGGACCAGGGAATGACTGAAACACCCCTCAAACTATAGGGCAGTCCTATAGAAAATGCAAAGAATCTCACATGACAGCCAGAACCTCACATCTGTGCTGTCAATATACCCAGCGAGGTTTCTAACAGCACTCGCCGGGTGCTAGCAGCAACCGAGCGAGCATAAATGCTGCATGTTAAAGATCAACTTAATGGGTACACACGCTCACGCAATCTCATGCTAGTCATTTCTTTAGGGACAGCTAGGATTCTCCAGCTGAAATGCTCGCCCTTTGGGCAAAAAAATGAACGTATTCATCTCCAAATTAAAAAGATTAAGGTAAAGTTTGAAACTATAAATTGTTAGCCCAAGGGTTAAAGCTTTGCAAGAACACTGCAGTTAAACAAGCTAACAGTTAAACAGCTAGGTTATTCTAGAAGGGAGAAACCCTCCTTTATAAGGGAAGCGCCTTATATTTATGAGCAACTGTTTTGTCAAACTTCAGACTTCCCTGCAAAGCCTGCGTTGCCTGGCCTTCCTGTTGACTGGTTTACATGCACATCCCCAAATGCCTGGGTTGAGATGTTCAGTGGTATCCAGGGGATTTAGCATCATTTCCATTCATTTTAATGAAAGTTTAAATCCCTTAAACTGCTTTCAAAACGTCAGCCTTCCTTTCCGTTACAGAAAGCTTAGGGTTCCCAGCCATCCTCTGACATCCTCTTTCATGCTCAGAGAGATGACAAGACATTTTAAAACAGTTGCTTCAAAAGTTAATATCATTTTAAATTAAAGTTTAATTAACTAAATTTGTTCTAGATTTCAGCTAGATGAAGCCAGGACACGACACACAACGTTCTCTTGCCTACATTTTGTTGTTGTTACCGCTGTTGTGTATGCCCGAATGCGAGCAATGTCTTTTAGGAGGCTTCAGTCCAGGAATGCTTTGCCTCTTCCATTTCCAAGCTTGGTAGAAAAAAAAAAAACCTCTCTGTGCTCCAGATGCAAGCAGTGTGGACACTCGTGTCTTTGGCTGGGGCTTTTGGCAAAGAGATTTGATGGATACTTCTCAGATGGGATGGGCCTGACTTTCAGAAAAGCTTAAGTCCAGCTTTGCACAAAACATCACTTCAGCATGGTTTCTTACACAGCGCTCGCTTTAGCGGGATTCAGGGAGGTCCCTGGGTGCTCCTGAACAAGAGTCCTAATGAAGCAGCAGTTGCCGTTCATCTAGTGACACAGCAGAGTATGAGACCCAGGGATGGTGCTGGGTTTCAGACTAGGCTCGTTATCCCGTCTCACATATCCGTAATTAAATGCTGTGCCAGACACTTGGATTATCACCTAAGAGGATACCATCCTTCCTCTTCTCTAGGCATTAGCTGTTGCTCATGCCATGAATCCCTTCTTTCCTTGTCCACACCAGCCATATATTACAAGTTCTTGTTTTGCCAGGAAGAATCCCTGTACGCTTCACGCCCCACCAAGATGAGTCGCAGAAAGGCACACATCTCCCCTAGCGCTCACCAGTGGGGATCCTTCACTCCCAAACACAGCGACACGAGCAACAGTGTGCTGCTCTCCTGTCACCTGGGCTTCCAGTGTAAACGGGACCTCTGCCGAGCTGTGAGGCTGGATGATCCCACACGGCTCAGGGCTGGAGTACCGCACAGCAGCATCCTCCTTGTGTTCCTGTAAGGGACAGGATCAAACCCAACTTCAGAGTGACCTTTGAGGAAACTTTAAACTCCTTGACATCTACCACAATGATACACACTTCTTAAAAAATCCCCGGGAGAAAGCAGAAAGGCACAAAACCAGATGGAAGACTAGTAAGGGCTTAGCACTCTGAGGGGGTCCAAAAGCTGCTGCATCCATAAACACCCACTCCTGTGCTGGCAGCCTCCTTGCAGCAGCTTTTCATGACCCTCTAAGTTCTCCTGCATGAAAGTACTCCAAGGACTAGAATATAAACTGCTTCCTAAAGAGTTTAAACTGCTTCCTAAAATTTATATTCAGGTAGGTTCCTATTTAACTGCTTCCTAAAGTTTATATTCAGCTAGGTTCCTGTTCTCAGCAAACCTTTAGGTTTGAATATAAACCAGCAAGGTCTTATCCAACCCCCTTTTTTTCCTAACAAACCCCTCGATAACATTTGAGGGCAGGAGGCGGACGCGATGCCAAACCTGAGGAAGAACCCTGTAGCAGCCTGGAAGATCACTGTCATTCACAAGGGTCAGCATCTGCCGATAAGGGAATTTTAGAAAGCACCGTCCAAATGTCACGATGGGGTTGAGCACTCGCAGCGGAGGAACTACGCATCTAGGCAAAGAGATGACCAAAAGGGAATTAGAGATACCGAGGGAATGTAGAATTTGTTTACTCCTCGGATAGCGTGAAATGGAGCATAACACATTTGTCACTGTCAAACAGACATTTATTATCCCTACAGCAATACATCGCCTTTAACTTCTTTTTATTCACTTTTATTCAACAACCTCTTGTAAAGGAGGGGCAAACTCTGAGTCTCAGCATTGCAGAGGCTTGCCAGTGTGGCCAAGTGCCCAGGCAGAGCACCGTGCCCCGTCTCAGAGCTGTCTGATGGGCACCTTTGCCCCAGGAGGCTTGCAAGGACCCTCCCAATGGCCCCAGCAAGGCGTGAGCTCTGGGGGAGCCTTCCCACCGAAGACCAGTGCTCACCAAGACTCAGGGAACACAAGACTCCAGTGCCTCAGTAAAAATGACTCCCTCCTCTCCCATACCGCTGTTGCCCTGCCTGAAGACTCAGCCACTTGTCCCAGCGATGGAGGGCACAAGCCACCACCCGCCGTACGCAGTGAGTGGTCACCCTTGCCCCATTTCTGTAGCTACCTTGGTCCTTCACCCCCACGGGTCCATACGCCGTCTGTTCCCATTTGCACGTATTTTCTTATTTTACAAGACTGCAGCCCAGGCACTGACTGGACGACTCTGCCTGGGAGAGGGAAACTGCATCCCTCTTGTAATTAAACTGACACTCACTGCAGCACAACAGGATTGAACCCGGCTGCAGCAAGAACAACTTTTGGCTCAAGTCTTGAAAACGTTAATGTTCAAAAGAACCAGAGGAAAGCAGAGAAACCTGAGCTCACCTTCCACATCAAGGACTATTTTTCCCTTCATAAGATCTTGCCTTCATTTTTCCCTCACCAGTCCCGCCATAAGCCCCTTCCCCATTTGCACGTGCCTTCATTAACTGAACCAGACACCAGCTTTCAGCAGGCTGCTCGCTGCGTCCCAATGAATGTTGCATTTTGGTCGCAACCCAGCGCAAGTCCACCACTTGCAGGAAGAAGGAGAGGCGGCCCTTTGGAAATCTGTTACACCTCAAGAACCAAAAACCAGGCCAATAATGAATATAATTACTGTTCCCTTCAGAAAAAGGCTCAGGGCCATGCCTGTCCGTTGAGCACAGGTGCTTCTCAACACGGGCTGCTTTCAAAGCACTGCTGTTCTCATATCTAGCTGGGCAGAAATAGCTCATTAAGCAACGCTTCTCGTTTGGAGCTGGAGCCAGCAAACTGCGTGCAAGGCAGCGTGCTGGTGGTGGATGCACGAGGAGAGACGATGAGCTGCAAGGAAAGCGCCGATACCTGGCTGTGAGAAGCAATGCCAACACCTCCTTGCCAACACCATCCACGTCCACCACCAGTGCCAGCTCGTATCTCTTCACAGTGTTGGAACACAGGGTAACCTGGCGAAAGAGAAGAGCATCAAATACTTCATCACTCCCAAAAAACAATCGTCCATGTGTGGTGTCCTCTGGTTCTCGTTCCACAGTAAGGAAAGGGAGGATTTTGCCCTAATTCTTCTGCTGGTCCACGTGTAGAGCACAGTCTCTGGGAGTAATAAAAGTCTTCTGACAATATCTTCTTTGTTAAATACACCGTGCAGTTATCAGGGCATATGTAAGCTAAATTAAAGCACTATTAGACTAATGCTCTACTCACCACTGTATTAAAATTAAGGGACCAGTTCTTAATCTCAACTACAATAGCATAAATCCAGAGGAAACCTGTTGACTTGAACAGAATGAGTTCAGCTTTACAGTGGGAAGCTGAGGACAAAACGTGGCCCAGCAGATGCTGTGCAGGTCACGGCTGCCAGAGCTTTTTCAGTCGCCACTGGAGATCACTGCAGTGAATGCAGCTCCTTCTGCTCAACAGGAGAGAAGAAATAAGACCGGGAAGAAAAACGAACTGCTTTATACAATGACACCTCTCTTTTTCACAGCCACCTTCTCTCCTCAGCCTTCCTCTGCCCACTTTAAATCACAGAAATCACTCTAAGCAGCTCTCAAATACACGTGAATGGCTTCTGTACTCGACTATACAGTACAAGACCTTCAGCTTATGATTTTGGAAACAAAACGGTGCTCCTCCAAAAATGTGCCGGAGTAACCCAGCCAACAAAAGCCTAACACTAATGCATATATCTTACTCGCGTTATGCTAGCAGCGCTAAAGCCCTCTCATACATCAGTGAAGCTTCAGCTCCACCTGCTGAAGCACGTATGGCCGGAATCTTCCCATACCTGGATATCCAGGAGTCCCTGGGAGCGGATGGTCCCTCTGCAGGGCCTTATGGTAAATTCGGTTGGCTTGACGTGACCTTGGGCTCCCCTCCTCCAGGATGGGCGAGTGTTGTCTGACATCTGAACAAAACTGGTAGCGCTGGGCTCTCCCGAGCCGTCTCCAGGAATGCGAAGGTTGAAAGTCATGGGCACCAAGGAGGTGTTAGTGAGGCAACACGACAAGGTGCGAGGAAAGCCTAGGAAAATGACACAAATAGGAATTTATGCACCAATTATCCCGTGATTCCTGGTGTGAATATCCTGTTGTGATAAAACTGTGCTTGGAGTTTAGCTCTTTTCAATCTGAATTACAGCTAATTGAGAAGCTAAGCAAGGAATTAATCATCACTTAAGTTCCCTTTTACGCTGACCACAGAGATTGCTTCCTTGGCAATGCCCACTCTTAGCGATGCCGAACACCAGAAGTTTTTCTCTCTAACTCTGCAGCTCTCTCACATGCCCCCAAAACCAGCACCAATTTCTTCTCACTTACGAGTGTGCATCCAGACAGACCATTCATTCTGAAAATTCAATCCATGAAATTCCCTGTTAACTCCGTGAACAATCCCACAGTTTTCAATATATGTAAGTAGTGTATTGTCATCAAGGAGAAGCTACAGTAAAGAAAGGATGGATGAAATTGGGAACTATAGCATGATGCAAAGCACTCTAATGCAGTTTCTCTAGGCAGGATCCTTAAGGTATCTCCTGTTTTGGGGCAACCAGACTGAGCGCGTAACAATCTGCAGCCCGCTTCAGAGGAGGCAAGCCTGCTGCTTGCTTAGAAATTAGCAGGAACCGTGTCTCACCTTACCTAACAAATGGGGACATCACATCCACGCTGCACGCTGGCTTTGATTACTGCCCGCAAAGGTTTACATCACTTTAGCTTTGATACCAGCTTTCATTATGCACCAGTGATACAACCACACCTGGGGGGGACGTTCTCCAGAGACAGGACACCAGCCCACAACCTGCTCTGGAGCGGACATCTGGCTTGGCTGGCCAGCTCTGTGAGGAGGAGACATCTCCCATAGCCTGCTTACCAAGCGGTATTTGAATACAGATGGGGAGGAAAACCAACTGCAGACACAGCAGGTAATTTCTCCATCACCAGTGACCGCTGCCCACCTCCAGCAGTTACTCCAGCAGGGAGGCAGGAGGTACACAAAAAGGACAAACACAGACTTCACAATCCCAAATGAGACCGAAGTCGCCAGACGCAGACAACAGTCAGCAGCACAGTTAAAAAGCAAAAATACAATAGCTGCCTTTCAGCTGAAAAGGCCTTATTAATGAAATCAGATGAAGTAGGATGAACCCTCTGTTACATAACTGTATTTCTGCCTGGCGTATTTCTTGTTGTTTTATTTATTCAAAAGGAAACAAAGAAGTGGCAGAGTGGTGATGTGGGGACAGGAGGAAGCGGCTCAGGAAAGGTAATGAGTTTTCTTAAAAAGTCCATGAACAGCATGAAAACAGAGAGGCATCCTGGGCGCAGAATGATAATGGCCCTTCAATCAATCCACAATTGATTTCACATTTAAACTTTAAATCATCTCAGTAAAAAGCCTTTTGTGAGACTGAGATGGAGAACCAGAATCTGCATTTCAATGGAGACGCTCTGGATGCTCAGTCACCGGCTCTGTCAGCAGAGCTGGGCTTTCGGCGGGGAAGGTGAAGGAGCCCATGTCTCTGAGGACATCAGTGCCTGATGCAGAGCCATTGCTTGGGCATATTACCTGGTAGGTGATAACGAGGTGCCCTCACAGCACTAATTAACATCTCACACGAAAGGTCAAGTGGGTAAATGGTGTCCCTGCCTTGCAACAGGAACATTTACCCAGAGCAGCTACAGGCTAGTACGTGGCTTAAACTCCCTTCTGCAGTCCCATCCCCTGGGCCCTTCGGGGACAAGGACTTTCACAGTCATTCTGCTGCCAAGGATAAGCAGCCCTGGTTTTAACACCCTGAAGGCTGCTATGGAGGAACACAAGTGACAGATGCTCTTATGTTAAAGCGCTCCATTTTGGTAACGCACAGACCTCTCAACCTGTGGTCCAAGCCCAGGGCACACTCACCAAAGGAGACATCACCGAACCGGAGGGAAGGTACGTTGAAATGAAAAGTCGGTCCAATGACACAGCCCCTGTGAGGACAAAAACAGGCAGAGGAGACATTGGCTTGGTTAGAGAAGTGCAAAGCATTCAGCTTTCGTTACCGCTCGGATGGATAAAAGCTGGTCGCAGAACCACAGTGGGTTTCAAATCAACCCATCACCCTGGTGCTCAGCACGGCATCCACGTGGACAGGAGGCAGCCAAAGCAAAGTGGTCAGCAGCTGATAGCTGCTGATGTGGCTTAGGGCACCAAGTCAAGGCAGGGGGCCAAGGGTATGCCCCCAAGTTGCTGCTGGCCCGATGAAGGACCCTGAACAAGTGATGGCTCCGTGCCTCAGTTTCCCCATCTGTAATGTGACGGACACAGAGGTGTCCACCCAAAAGTGGACTCACTGTAACTAGCCTTCCCAGCTGCAGGTTCCCTGCTTTGGTATTTCTTAGCTGGAACTGGTGTTTCCACGGAGTATATGAACATCTTTTCCTCAGAAGATCTTGATCCACGCAACCATTAGGCACACAGGATTTCGAGGCATGAATCCAGGGAGGGCCCAGACACCCATTGACCGCAACAAGAGCGGCAACAGTTCTACAGTGGACAGTCAAATCTTGGAGAAAAGTATCAGCTTGTCACCAGTGCACCAGCCGACGCATGCAAGAGCAACACACGTCTTAAACAACCAAACCTGAGTGTCCTGAACCCACCACACCTCCTCGTCCGTCCTTAAATTCAGCAGCCAGGCTCCAAACTCCAAAACTCACCAACATCCACTGAAATCAGCACTTGGAGCTGCACAACGTTCATTCATTTATTTCACAGTTGATGCCAATCAATGCCAACTCTGCCTCTTAGTTAAATCAGGGACCACAGTGAATGGTGCCTTCTGGTTTTATTCACAGGACTGCCACTGGTCTGTGCTGCACATGAACAGACCCCAGCATCCCGCAGGAGGGACCTGCGTTCATCTGCGGTGTCCAGTTTCCAGCATCCCTTTCTAAACACCAAAAAAGCAAGCATTCAGGACCTCGTAAGGTTGGTTACCAAGTAAAGAATAATTGCCTATGGTTTGGGCATCTTCTGATTGCGTAGTCAAAAAGCACTCAGAAAAAACTGACCTTCAGGAGTTTCAATCCAACGTTAATTCTCGATTCTTGGAGCTGAATCAGTTCCTGAGAATAAGTCAGGTAGCAAATCCCTGCTGCTGCTGAAGGTCCCTCTCCAAGGACCTCACATAATCAGGCCTAACCTCCCAAGCCCCAGGAGCTTACTTGGGATGGAGCAAAGGGAGCAGACATGCTTTCCGTCACAGCACTTGCCAGGAGACGATGGAAAACTACCTCCAAACCAACCACAACTGGGGAACGCACTGGGCAACGGCCAAGGATGAGCCTTGCCAGGCAAGGGAGGAAATGACTGCCATTTCTGCTGAGTGCACCGTACCCGTGCTCAAGTAAGTTAAACCTGAATGACGGCTCAGAAGGCTCAGGCAAGGAGCCAACCCAGAGCTCTGTGCACCACAGCTGATAACAGTACAGCTTACAAGAAAATGGGGGAAAAAGCAGTGCTTTTGGCAACAACCGTGTTTTACAGTAGCATTAAATAATGCACTTGTGAAGGGAGATCAGGGCCCTTGCAGAGCGAGAAGGATAACGCAAGGTGGGAGAGGAACAACTTGAACGCTCATCCCTGTTTCTTCCTTTGCAGCCCAGTGTCCCACCAGCCAGCTCGCCTCCATTCAAACGAACTGGGAGTTTATCTCCATGGAGGACTAAATCCAGTGCACAAAACCTCCCGAAGAGGGAGGCTCAGCTTGACCTGGTGGGTGGACATCTCAAAGGCATTTGAAAACAAACAGCTTGAGTTGTGGGGCTGGAGAATGAGAGATAAGGGCTGGGTAGGGATCCTTGAAAAAAGGCAAGGCAGAAATCAAGGAGGCAGATGCCATCTCAGGGAGGAGCGGACTGCAAAGGGAATTACTGCTGAGGGACAGCTGTATGGGAGCAGGTGGGGATGCTGGGGTACCATCAGATGGACTGCATAGGAGCCACCATCCAGGAAGGAGGAGTCCAAGGATGGGGAAGAAATAAATAAAAAAGGACCAGCAGTCCTCTTTCACTGAGATATAAGGTCTGCACTGAGCCCAGGGTGGTGCTGGCAGAACAGGGCAGAGAGCGGCCACAGAGGAGGGGAGGACATGCTGGGCACTGGGAGCCAGGGCATCAGTGGGGAAAAAAGGACCACTTCATCTGGTTGTGGGAAAGCCAAAAGACAACTATCCCGCTGACAGCTGTCTCCTTCCCCAGGAGCAAGGCCACTGTGGGGCAGAGGCAGTGGGCGCTACCCAAGCAATACCGTTTTCTACCTGTGATAAGCACATCTTTACAAGCAAAACCTGCCCTTGCTCAAGGAGAAAGCTGCTTATGCAATAACATCCCGTGACCAATTTGGGGGAGGGACAGAGAAGAATAAGTTATTTGATTGTGAAATGTTCCCTCTTGATTTCCAAAAAAAGCAGCGCTTTCCCTCCAAACACAAAGCCGACACAATTGTTTCTCTACTGAGGTCAACAGACCTACTCACCACTCTTCTCTTGCAAAGTAATAACCTTGTTGTTCTTTTTTATCCGTTTCCCTTACCTTATTGGTAAAATCGACTGCAGATTCCTTTCATTTCTTTACTACCTTGATCTAGTGCCTCCCAACAGCAGCAGCCCAGGAGGCTGGCTGCCGAGGAAGAACAGCCAGCCCCAAAGCTCCAGAGCACCCAGCATCAGCTTTCCTGCCTACACCACGTTATCCCACCAGCCCACGGTTAAGACTAGCTGGGACGAGTTGGCATGCTGCTGTGGTCCTGAGAAGTGAGTTTTGCCTCTCCTATCATCAAGCTTTTTTGTTTCTCCGCCCTTCTCCCCTTCGCTCGATGAGGATTATCTTTTGCAATGGCACCAGCCCATGGGATAATGCCAAAGTCCTTGTGACAGTACTTGCTGCAGAGCTCCCCATCTCCCACCTCAGCACTTTTCTGGCTTGCAGAGAGGAGGTACCGTAGCACTCGCTGCACAAGAGCCGGGAAGACAGCTTGTCCCAACGCATTAGCATGAGAGATGATGTTGAGGCTTCTGCTACCCATTTTGTGTGGTTTATTAACAGAGGATTTTAAAAACACTGCTTCTGGCTGCAGAATCACCCAGGCTGGCCCATCTCCAAAGCCCTGTTGGCCTTGCTGTGTGTTCAGGTGGGACGTCCCAGACCACCTACTGCCCAAAGCTGATACCACCACACTGTCTGCCATGGCCCAAGGGGCAATGAGCTACCTGTAGGAAGGAGTCACTCCAGCTCCTGGGTACCCGGGCTGGGCAGCAGGCATCTCCACACCTTTTCTGTACAGCCACCAGTCAAACTTTTTTCCGACATGGGTAGTCACTTAAAGCTCAGGTCCTCACACAGAGATGTCAAAGGGTCACAAAAGGAACCTGCTGCTGCCAAATTCTGTGCAGACAGCGTCCTGGAAAGTCACAGAGCCACCCTGGCTCAACCATGAAGGCAAAGCTGCTTCCCAGAGGAACCCAAGACTTTGAAAGTTAAACTGGGTATTGAGAGCATAGGAGGCATAGTCATAGGTGGCCAGCAGGTCGACAGGGGTGATTCTGCCCCTCTACTCTGCTCTGGTGAGACCCCACCTGGAGCACTGCGTCCAGCTCTGGAGTCCTCAGTACAGGAAAGACACGGACCTGTTGGAGCGGGTCCAGAGGAGGGTCATGAAAATGATCAGGGGGATGGAACACCTCTGCTATGAAGAAAGGCTGAGAGAGTTGGGGTTGGTCAGCCTGGAGAAGAGAAGGCTCCGGGGAGACCTTATTGCAGCCTGTCAGTACTTGAAGGGGGCCTATAAAAAAGATGGGGACAGCCTTTTTAGCAGGGCCTGTAGTGGTAGGGCAAGGGGCAATGGTTTTAAACTAAGAGAGGGTAGATTTAGACTAGATATAAGGAAGAAATTTTTTACGCTGAGGGTGGTGAAGCACTGGCCCAGGTTGCCCAGAGAGGTGGTGGATGCCCCATCCCTGGAAAAATTCCAGGTCAGGTTGGACGGGGCTCTGAGCAACCTGATCTAGTTGGAGATGTCCCTGCCCACGGCAGGGGGGTTGGACTAGATGGCCTTTAGAGGTCCCTTCCAACCCAAACTATTCCATGATTCTATGATTTCTTCTCGCAGACAATTACACTTCATTTGCTGCTGCAATTGCAAAGTTCAAACTGGAGTCAAGGTTAAAAAGCCTTGACTTGGGGATGCTAGGATCAGAGCCAAGACTAAAGCCTTAGACAAGACCTTTTTTCTCTGCTCCGTCATAAAGCGAGGTAGGTGGGAGATGATTACCCAGAGATAGCTACAGATGTACCCACCAAGCTCCTACAACCCTCCTCACCTGACAGTCAAGGTCACAGGCTCAGGGGATCCATTCACACTGAACCTGAATTCTTCCGTGAACTGCCCCAGGATGGTGGAACTGAAGGAGATCTGGATGACTTGGAGCCCGTCCGGCAAGATGATGCCCTCCCGGGGGAGAAAGGTGAAGCAGGAGCCCAGAGCTGTAACTGGAGGGACCAAGCTGAAGAGAGCATCGATGGCTCCTTTGTTAAACAGGATCACCTGCAGCAGCAAGACAGCGAAATGGAAATACATAAGGAATCTTCCTTTCTTACAGAAGGCCGATTTGTTTTCTGATTAAACAATTAACATCTGTAAAGTTTCTGATTGCTGCAGGGTGAAATCCTGCCATTTCCATGGACTTCCCTATCTGCTTTGGATGCCTTTTCCCTAATTTTTGTCCTCGCAAAACCTGTCAGAAAAACCTGAGACAGAAGCATAGATGCGTCCCTTATTTTTTTAATTTTGCAGCTGCTGTTGAAAACATTCATGTATTCAAATTCCACAATGGTAACTTGAAAACTACTCTCTCCTCTCACGTGTTTTACACCTTAGTTACAAATTGCACTTAGGGATCCTATGCTGAGCTGAGGTTTACCTCCAGTCTAGCTGCTTAGGACAGCATTAACAGCATCATCTACTTATTCACATTTTCTCAAGTAATGAAAATAAGAAATTGATATAGAGAGAATCAATAAAGTATCAGCATTAAAAATGCAGAGAGAGCACAATATTTTGGTAAGAAAACACCTTAAGGTGTCCTTCACTGCCACAATCAAGCTTTTGAAAGTGTCTTGCATGATGTATTGCCTCATTTTCTACCTCTTTCGCTTGCTCTATCTTATTTTTTTGCAGAAGACTTGACACCATTTGGGGGGAGGCAAATACATAGAGAAAGTTCCTTTGCTTCATTTCAAGAAACGCTTTGCTCTTTATAGAGCCAGGGATGCGCCAAATCTGAAGGTGTGGCGAGAGACTGGTCGGCAAGGGGAAGCACTCCCAATTTCTTTGCCAGGGACAGCTCTGGGCCAGGAGGCTGGACGGCTTTCCTCCGACTCCCAGGAACCGCTAGGATGCACTTAACTGAAAACTGTTTGCAATGGACTTGAGTTCAAACACAGTAAATTTGTTCCAGCTGCTTTTTAACACCCAGAGTACAAAGCTGCATTGCGTCTAGGGCTGAAACAAAAGCCTCTGAATACTTATCTTTTTGACCCATTGTTGCTTTCATGTGTCAAGGGGTTTGGTTTTTTGCATGAAGCCTCCCAGCTGATCTCAAGGGGAGGTTGCCAAAAAGCAGGGATGAGGGCTTCACAAACAACATATACACCTTTCAGACCCCATCAAAAGTATCAAGGTTCTGTGAAACCCCCCCAGATTTGACTATGTCAAATACTCCCTGCTCACAACTTCCTGAGTTGCCAGAAATCCCACAGGTCCACGAGGCTCACTGCTGCCCCGGGAGCCATCAGGATCCACCCCAACCCCTGAGAACTCCCCTACTGCTCACCTCATAGCTGTGGGCTGATCCAACAAAAACCTTCCCGATGTCCAGCTGGTCAAAGCTGAAGCAGAGCCGGGGCCCTACGCCTTCCCCTTTGACGCGCAGGGGCAGCCTCGTTTCTCGGCCTGGAGAGAGATTTCCATTTCAGTACAGTAATTCCCTCTGTTGCCTTGGATTTTCCAGGCTGCCTCAATGCTAGTCCCTGACTCTGGGCTGGATGCGACCAGCTCTAGATGCTCCAGGAGAAGATATGGGACCCTTCTCTTCCCTCAGGAGACATGCCCTTGGGCTGGTTTCTAATTTTTAACCAACCCCTTGGGCTGGTTTATAATTCAGCAATCAGTTTGCACCCTTAAAGAGCGCTGCTGAGTTTAAAACACGACCTCTGAATTTCTTCCCATGCACTTAGATGAGCTTTGAAATCCATTCAGTGAAGGCACAAAGCTCACAAAAGAGAGCTGAAGATAAAAATCCGCTGTCTGTACCGATGCAATCGGAGACGACAGCACAGGAGCCGAGAGGTACGAGCCCAAGGGAGGCGAAGCTCCCTGCTAACGGCGATAGGCACATCCGAGTGCTGCCTAGGGCAGGCAGAGCACCTCAGCCGCCGCCTGCGCCTAACATACAGCTCCGTACCTGGGTGCTCCAGGGCTCACCTCCTGCAGCAGCGCCTAAGTAACACAGGGCTTTATGATCTCCAGAGAGAAGTACTCGCCTATTCCCGCCATGACACCAAGAGCTCAGCTTTGTAAAGACACCTTACCTGAAGCACGCCGAGCAGTTATGGAAAGCCAGCCTCCTCACTACTATCAGATAAGCCATAAATACACTGCTAATACACACATCCCTTGCTGCAAAGGTAATCGAGACCGCAAGGCTTATAGCTAAACTCTAAGATGCTAATTTTCTTCCGTAAGTCTGCTAAGATGACATAGTGCAGGATCTTTCAGTCTGAAGGCTGTTCTGAACCACTGGAGCAGCCCAAAGTGCCTGAATCCTAGCTTGAATTTCAGCTTGGGTCTCCCTGCCCTCCCATTCTACTCCGCATGGAAAGCGAGTAGCACAAGGAGGAAAAGAGAGCCCCAGAAGTTGTATATAACCTTCACTGTAGCTTTTGTGCAAAAATATTCCTCTTTCCTTCAAGCTGCTTTTGTGCAACGCTCACTATTTATTAAAGATTAGGGATCGAAGGTTGCTTTTAAAAAATAGTCTTCCGCATAGTTATTCCAGAATGTCCAAAATGACTTTTTATTGCAAAGAGCAGCCCAGGTGTGACAACACAGTGACTAGATCACAACTTGAAAACACTCTCCTGGAACAGCCTTTTCGATGATTACTGACTTTTTGATCTTGCAGCCATGGGATGAGGATGTTTGATAATGTCCAAAGCCAGAAAGGAAAAGCTAGGGAGCTTTTGTTGAATTCAACATTTTTCAAGTGGATCCAGCCAAAGCCCAGCTGATAGCAGAGATGAGAGTTATGTTTCACAGCTCACACGTTAATTGGAGGGCTGTGTATTTCTATTTCACAGATATTATAAAAGAGGCAGTATTGGGTGCTCACTGTCAAAAGATTTCTCCATCTTGCATCACATGTGGCTTCATTTTCATTAAAAACTCTAGGCCTAAGCCATCAAAGCTCTTAGGAAATGGCAAAGACTTCTAAGTGACAAGCTTTTGTCCATGATCATGCTGAGACACGTCCCATGGCCACTGTGATCGAAAAAAATCAGTGGCAGTTCTTCCCTTCCTCATCCTCTCCTGAAGGTCCATGGAAACCATCCTTTCTCCTACCCCTACCTTGAACTTGAAACTTTAGGAAATCCCAGAAGTTTTGCTCTTCCTCCTTCCCGGTGAACCTCAGAGTGGGTTCTTCCCAAAGGAGAAGGAGCAGACTAAACTACAGGCAGCATTCAGGAGAGCTGAGAGGGAAAATAAAACCCCAAAACCAAAAGAGTATGTCCTCCTCTTTGTTGGAGCTGGGGCTTTCAGGAGCATCCAGCCTTTGCCCAAGGCCTGGGTACAGCTGGGCTGTGGCCCTGTGATGCTCCCACCATAACGCGTCCTGGAACACACAGACCAAGGGCATGGAGGGGCTACAGCCTCCTTTGTCCTCAATCCCAAATCCACACCTGGTACTGTAGAGCGAGAATTTGGATCTCGGTAGAAACAATACCTTGGCCTGTCACCCAGGGTGTACAATTTGGCATTGCTGCCTTGTTTTCAAACAAACAGGGGTGTAGGTGGCCCAACAGCACAGGACTTTGACGCCAAAGTCCTTAACTCCTGCTGCTTTCTGACACTCGGTTTCTTGTTCACAGAATGTCCCCGTGTTTTGTGACTGGTTTTGAACGTGATTCTCACCTGACCACGTCAATAAACAGTTTTACATGATGCAGGACAGTTCTGTCACAAGGTAAGGGAGCGATCATCATTTGGGATTTTGCTTCTCCCTGCAAGAGTGGCTTAGAAAGGGGTTTTGCAAGGTGTAACCCCATACAGTTCTGTGTGCGGACAAACCTAAAAATGAATTTTAGGTGTCTGAGGCCCCACCGTGTGCTCCCTTCCAGCACTCAAGAGCCAGGGCTTTATTTGCATGAATAACTAAGAAAGCTCATTTTGAGCCTAAATATTTGCCAAGAGCAAATTTCAAACCACTTCTTAACTGCCAGCTTTGCAAGTCGCCCAGTGCTGATGAGTTCTGTAAATCACCTGATCCAGAAGCATCTGCTAAGCACCTGCAAAAAAAAAAGTGGAGGCCAGCAAAGGCCCTTTCCAGTGGGGCATGAGATCCAGCTGCACAATTCACAGTGCTGCACTGGGGCAAAGCTTCCAAATATTCCCAGCAAGGAGCAGACACCATCTGCAAACCATCCTCCAAAGGGGTTTGTGACTGGCATGCCAATGCACGAGGAAGGCAGTCACGCTTCTCGGAGGAATCAAGAAGTAAAATTAATTGACTCCCTAGTTAAAGATCATTGTTTTCTTCTTTAAACTCTTTTCGCACCCAGGGACCTTGACTCTGGGACAGTTTCCACCCTGACAATACAGTGGATCAGCTCTGTTTTGTAAAGGATTGGGAGTAGGCGCATAATTTAAATTATCTCCTTGAGGTCCTCTTCCAAGGAGCCAGTGGAAGAGTTAAGTTCTCCCGAAGGCCCATCATGGTCTTTTGAGTGCAGGCTCCTCTTTCTAAACACAGATCATTTGCCCAGCTCTGTTTCCTAAAGCTCCCAGACTGGCTCAAGGGTTGCATGCAAGTAGTTTTCCTATCTCTCTGCAATGAAAAAGCTCTCCTGGCACAACCCCTGGAGGTCCCCGCAGCAAAGTGATGGACACCCCAATCACCAGAGCAAGAGTCCCAGAGCCAGGAGCACGGCACTGAGCAAGGAATCCCTTGGGAGCAACTTTTCAAATCATTCCTTTCCTTCCGCAGCTCTAACAACTACAGCTGGTGGGCAGGAAGACAGTTTGTTAACACAAGCCCTGTGTAATTACCGTAGGTGGCATTTGCCAAGTAAACCCTGTGCAATTACTGTATAAATAAAAAGCTGTTTCATGACATTTGTATCTGTCAGCTTGGAGCAGTAAGGAAAGCAACAAAGCAGCTGGGTTAGTGATTTCAGCACCCTCCAGAACAGGAGCCTGGCTGCTGGAGGACCACAGGTCTTGCACCTCTTCCTCTTAGATGGGGAAAACCATAACGTTCCCTGGATGGAAATCTGACAGCTGTCTCCCACTGTTGGAAGACACCTTAAGCAGCACCATGCAGAGACACGGAGGAAGGACAAGGTAACCCGAACCACGCAGCTTGCTGCAAGCACTCCCTGCCCCGTGCTAGCACAGCAAAGCCATCACCTCTGTAAGGGCAAAGATGGTATATAACTTGGGTGGCTCAACGATAACCGCTCCCAGAAAAAGACTTGACAGCACTTCTGTAAGACAGGGTGAGCATAAAGCTTGTCTAGCAGACTGCTCCGAGTCTGATTTCCAGGGAGGGTGTTCACCCTGCTGAGTACAGCAAGCCCTCTGCAACGCTACCTGTATGCACCATAGACTAGGAGCCCCAGGGTGACAATTCCCACGCAGGGAGAAAAGCATGTGTTGGCCAGAGGCGGTCCTTTCGCAGACACCCCGTGCTCAGGAGGGCTCAGCCACCTAAGGTCTGGCAGCGTCTGGGTAGTGGGAGGTGATCCAGGGTCTGGGAGCACGTTTGGAACTCTGCTCGTACCACCTCGGGAATCTGATGATGCAACCATGTAATAAAGACTCACCTTGGAGGTAAACGGTCTACAGGGACTTAGTGCTCGTCCACTAAAGCTGTTCTGCTGTGTGGCTCTTTGGCCTTCACAGACACCTCCCAGCAGAGCAAATACTGGCAAACCCATGACACGAAAGCTTATCCCTTCACTGCCTTGGTTGTTCTGGGATCAGTGATCCAAGGTTGTAGCCAGGCATCCTGAGGGCTGGCCTTGGACAGGAGACCGCCTTGAAACCACAGGGACAGCGGGCATGTGCCAGTACCGCCCTGCTGACCACTGACCCTTCCTAGCAATTACACGAGAAGCGAGTGGGCTGGTTCTGTTCGTGCCTCACCTTCACCGTGGGTAAGAGAAGCAGGAGAAAGGAGCTGTACCTGAGATGTCGCAGTAGACCGTTTGTTGATAGACTCTGGCTTCTCGGGGTTTAAAGATCACATTAATTTCAGCCGAAGAATTTGGCCAGACATCTCCCTCCTAAAACAGAAGCAGGCAGCAAACCATTTATCTTCAAACATTACATTCCTTGTTTTCAACCACAGCCCTGTAGCCTATATTTAGAGCATCAATGAAGAGCAAGGAGCAAGTAACACTCATCAACAAAATTTATAAGAGTTTGGAAGCAGCTGCAAAAAACCCTTACCTTTACTGGCACCTGGTAGAGGCATTTCGTTAAATTAGGACTATAACGAAGCAACCAAACTGGCTCCCACTCCAGCGAATCAAGCAGGATTTCTTCAGAGGCACCAGCCAGTCTAAGGAAAAGGTACCTCTCTTCTGCAAACCTTCCTGTATATCCCGGTATCACTATGGCTACATGAACACTTCTGCTCAGATCAGAAGAGATTTAGAAAATCAAATGGATTTTTGCATTCTTAGTTACAAAGGTGCTGCCTCTTATACCCTTCACCTGTACGTGTATTTAAGTATATAACGTACTCCAGCGAGTCGGAGCACTCGGCACCTAGCGGAACAAGCCCTCCTGCCTGGGGATCGATGAAGAACAGACCCTTATAGATGGCTGCTTCTGCCCCGTGCCGTGAGCAGTCAGCCAGCACGTAGGTTACAAAAGATCTGAGAATGAAACTGAGAATTGGATGTGTCTTGTTTACCTCTGCAAGGTGCATACACTCCTGTTTCCCTGAACACAGGCTCAAACAAGAAGAGATGCGATTTGCTTACAGCTTCATACCTCTTTCAACCAAAAATCAAGTAAAATAGCTCTTCTCCTTGTCATGCTCAGAGATTTAAGTCTGGGCCATGCTACCAGTGCTTCTGCAACTGTCTGCTGCTTCCTTGGGGTCTTCTCTCCCAAAGAGTCCTGGCACTGGCGCTCAGTCCCAGGGAGGCCTATCGCTCATTTTTGGAGGCATCCCTGGTTTGTAAAGGCTCTCACTCACTTCTTGCAACTGGTTTAAACAAAGGCACCACTTACATCCCCTCAACCCCTACCATTACAAATGTCTCTTCGTGCATTTGTTGACAGAAATATATGCACATCTGACAACTGTAATAATAGTCTACAAGGAACGAAAAATTTAGCTTATAGAAGGAGAAGAAAAGAACAGAGTTATTCTTCTATCAACAAAGTGAGGCTTTGATTCTGCTTGCTGCTGGATATCCTCAGTACTTTGTCCAGAAGAGTCTTGAACTGACTGGAGCCTCCGGCACTCCTGCAGCATAAATATTAAATAACTATAATGCTTCCCATCGACTCAGCACTTATAGCTCAAAGGACAGTCCCCGCAAAAATTAAAGAGCTGTGACATGGTGAGTTATTGGGCTGCAGCTGCAAATAATTCTCTAATGCACAGTCTGCTCAGAGTCAACAGAACAGAGGGAAGAACAGGCGGAGAAAATTGTTTTGAACACCAACAAACCATCATCACCACAATAATAAGAAAAGGGAAGTCTGAAAAGCATAAAGTCACTTGGATTCCTCTCAAAACCTAGAGCAAACACATTTGCCAGATCAAATGTACTTCGTGTTTCTAGCTAGCAAGCACCTGGATGAAGATGAAGCGTTATTATATGACAACATACTTGCTTGAGGAAGCAAAGTGGGGACATCAGCCTGCAACCCACAGTCAGCGTGCTAGATACCAGAGCCTTTGGGTCCCGTAGGGATGCTGCACGGGCTGAGCATCTACAGGGTTATCTCGGATTTGCAGGAATAAAAGCATTCGGGGTGCTCCGAACAACAGCAGCTCTGCTATGATGGTTCTGGAGTTACATCCAGTTGGCGGCCGGTCACGAGCGGTGTTCCCCAGGGCTCAAGTTTTGGGGCCGGTCTTGTTTAATAACTTTATCGATGACCTGGATGAGGGGATTGAGTGCACCCTCAGTCAGTTGGCAGATGACACCAAGTTGGGCGGGAGTGTTGATCTGCTCGAGGGTAGGAAGGCTCCGCAGAGGGACCTGGACAGGCTGGATCGATGGGCCCAGGCCAACTGTATGAGGTTCAACAAAGCCAAGTGCCGGGTCCTGCACTTCGGCCACAACAACCCCATGCAGCGCTACAGGCTTGGGGAAGAGGGGCTGGAAAGCTGCCCAGCAGAGAAGGACCGGGG